CTGGAAGGATGTTGTAACATTTGTTATGACATTGTCATCTTATCCTTCTCTTTAGAAAAAATTAGTTTTTTTCATTGGAGCTCTTCCTTTATCATTCAAGGACTGATAGTTAAAACCTATGCCAGTGAATCTTCTATCTCCTTCTCCGATTTGAATAGTTTCATCTAACACACCAGATACACTAGTCATGTTTTCAAGTTTAGAGGTTAATATAGTTACCTTATCTTGAAGATCAGAGTTTATGGATAAAAAAAATTCCTTTTCATCCTGAAGTTGAGCTATAACCTTCTTATGTGCTTCTCTTAACTTACAACTTCTTCACTTCTCACATAAAGTTCCTTGTAAGAAACATCTAATTCTTCATAGGTTAGGTCCTCATCACATGAATACTTATCAGATTCATACTACCAATCAAGGTTATAAATTTCTTTACAGTTTCTTTATCAAACTCACTTCTAGAATCATCAGTCAAAAGCAGACAATCCTTTCTTCTGCTTTTCTAGAAATGTTGGACACTTTGTTCTATTATGACCAAAACCCTTACATTCAAAGCATTGAATGTCTCCATCTTGATTTTGGTTATCTTCTGTTATTTCTCTTTGTTGAACCTCAATGTCATTTCTGATATCAGAGGAAATGTTCTGGACATTTGGTCTTGACATCATCTTGTTTAGCACCTGATTGAACTTCCTCCCAAGAAGCACAATGGCATCTGACAAACTTTCATCAGTGTCCAGGTGATACTGATATTTTTCATCTTAATTGTTTGATATGAAGGCAATGTTTATGTTCTTCTTTTCAGATATTTCACTAATATCTAGTTAAAAAGTTTGAAGTGACCCAACAAGTTCATCAACTCTCATGTCGCTGATATTTTGGGCTTCTTCAATGGCAGTTACCTTCGTGTCAAATTTCTTAAGTAGAGATCTGAGAATCTTTCTAACAAGCTTTCCTTCTGACATCTTCTCTCCCAAGGCATTAGATGTATTTACTATTTTAAGAACATTCATGTGAAAGTCCTTAATGCTTTCGTCATCATTCATCTTTAGGTTCTCAAATCTGGTAGTGAGAAGTTGAATTCTGAACATCTTCACTTTAGATGCGCCTTCATGAGTTATCCTTAGAATTTCCCAAGCACATTTAACAACAATACAAGTATTTATTAACCAGAAAACATTTTTGTCCACTCCATTAAATATAGCATTCAAAGCTTTGGATTTTCCAAGAGCTAATTCATCTTCCTCTTTATACACGTCTTCTTCTGGATTCAAAGACTCATTCCCGTCTTTGTCTTTCACAACATGATGATTCCAATCATTCAAAAAAAACTTCCAAAATTTGTTGTCCATTGATTTTGTAAAAGCTACCATACGAGCCTTCCAATAGTCATAGTTGGAACCATCTAATAGAGGTGGCCTGTTATTGTATCCTCCTTCCTTGTCCATAGTACCAGAAAATATTCTCCCTAGAGCTCACCCAATAAACAGAACAGGGTGTCTGCTCTGATGCCAATTGAAATTATGGCACACTATATAAATGTTAAGACACATGTCACATCACCAAAACACAATGTCAAGACAGGTGTTAAGACATCATCTTACTGACAGAGCTATTTACAAAATCAATAGATCATGTAGAAAGTAAATTGCAGAAGATAAATAACAGTGTCAATTGCTAACCCAATTTAGTGCAACATCACCTACTCTGGGGACATCCAACCCAAGAAGGAAATCCACTATGATAGTATTAGTTCAAATTTGAACAACCCTAGTTTACAACTTGTCACCTAATCACTACTCATGCAATTTCTACCTAGGAATCTCTTAGATATGAGAACCCCCCTCTCACTTTCCACAATTACCTCCATGATAAAAACAATGACTAAAATAGAAGATCGCGCTTATAATTAAACACAATTCACTCTTTCTTAAAAGCTCATGAGTGATTGACAATAAACAATGAATAATCAGTCAAACTTTATGCATCAAACAAGATACATGAGTGACGTACAAAAGTAAAGCACAATAGAAGAACTCTTAAACCCTAAGATTCTTGAATAACAAGCTTCCCCTTATTTTTCAAAAAGTTCCAAATAATATTAGGTTTAGGTTTTTCCTTTTAAACGCATCAGCTACCCATGGGCTTCAAATTCTTTACCCAATTTGTTGTAGATCCACATGCTGATGGTTGCACCAATTATGCAGAAAAATCTCCTTGAAATATGGAACAAAAATATCTCAAGTTTCCTAAATTATCTCAACATCCAATTTTATAAACTAATGTATAGTTGGAGATAAAATCACTTGTTCCAAAAATATCCTTCTGGGCCTGCGCAAATATGTGAGATATACCCATAGGGAATCTCATATAATCAAATCAGAACCTTCAAGAAGCAATTGCAGCACCTTTTGTGATAGTTGGTCATGATGTCATGACTTCTTGCTCAACATCTGATTGTGATACATGTTTTATCAAATGATACATGTTTTACCAAAATTGTTGTCAATCATAAAATCACAGACCTAACACCTATAAATAATAACGTTACTCCAAAGACAACCCATATTGGTGTGTTGGAAAACGATATTATTGCACATTGTCAAAATGGCATAAATTGTCATGGTAAGTTCAATTTTTAGGATAAGTTTCCTACAACCTTTACCACAAGTCCAACGATCTATAGTACTCATTTCCGTGTCTCAATCCACTGACTTATGATTATAATTCAGAAGATTTGACCTCATATTCCATTCGTCATGACACACGAAAATAATAGATGTCCACAACTCTCATGACACCCACAAAACACACATTTTCCATCCATGACAACTCCAAATTTAGCCAACCGATCTTTCATGGGGATCCTATTATGACAAGATAGCCACTTCGTGAACTTCGCTCTTGGTCTTTCTAAACTACTAACAAACAATTTTCTCCAACTAACCTTGGTTTGTGACCTCTAATCATTTGGTAGACTTTCTTGGTTACATACCTTCTCTTAGTTTGAAATTCAAACCATATGGTAGATTGCATCAACATGTAACGGTTCTTGAACATGGCTTTGATGATCCACGAACACTGCCTTGATGGAATGAACGTAGCAGCGGACTCTTTTTTCAAGTAGTAAGAATGAATCCAGTTGATCTAAAGTATATCCTTTTTTGCATAAACATTCCAAAGCAATTTCCTAAGTTTGGCTTTATTCCATTCTCAAAGATGAATCAAGTTCCGACCCCCTAGATGAAATTGGATCACAAATGTGATCCCACGATACAGGCGCCTTACGAGAATGGACTTGCTTACATGCCCACAAGAAATCTCTATAAATTTTGTGAATATGAGAAATAACTATTTTTGGGAATGGAAAAATTAGCATCCAGTATTTGGCTATCGCAAACATCATGTTCTTCACCAATTGGAGTCTCCCAGCATACGATAATAACTTGGTGCTTCAATGATTGAGCCGATTTAGCATCTTGTTGATCAGAGGTTTATAGTCAAGGACATATAACTTCCTACTAGCCAAATGGACTCCAAGGTACTTCAGGGGTAACGCTCATGTTACAAAACCAATCATATTATGAAGAATCTCATGTGTATCCTTATCGACCCCTATCATACCCCAATTTTTTCTAGGGTCATTCATTCATCCCATTTGTGTCATTAGTCGGTCGTTCATACATTAGATTGATCAAAATTCAACCTTCAGTTAACATTAGCATTTTTATTTTCATACACTGTCTCATTCATTGTGAGGAGATGATCAAAATCCAATAAGAATAAAATTTCATTTCTACAAGCAAACTGGTAAAGGTGATTCGACACAATGCATAAAATTAGTGGGCGTTTCAAGTTTTGATTTTTAACTTACTGTTTTATGAATCTACATTGGGCGTAGGTCGTGTTGGTGTGCTTGTTTTATTTTTCGTACATTATTTACGGTTGCTTCTTTTTTTACTTGTCAGAGTCTGTTTAACCAGATATTTTTCATTTGTATTTTTGAAATTTTATAGTCTTTTTTTTTATTTAAATTTGTCCCGCGTATATCACAATGATAATAAAGTATAAACCCTTTATTTTTCCTCACACTTGAGTTGAGAATCACAAATAACATCACGCTAACATCTTGATCACGAAACTAACTAAATGGTTCCCATCGAGTACGATAGATGTGAGGGGTGCTAGTATCTTTCCCTTGTATAACTGACTCCCGAACCCGTTCACAGTTGCGATGACCGTCTTATCCATTCCTTCTGTGGGTTTTATTCATTATTTTCCCTTTCCGTTAAAAACAATAAAGATCGGCGGAGACTCTTTCTTATTTGTGAGTTAAGTTAATCAATAACTTAATCTCAATTTTTCCCTCCACGACAACCTTGCTACATAAAATTTTGCTTTTTGATATGTTGATGGTGAGCCCAGTAGAGGCGGAAAAAACTTCACTTTATTCATGATTAGTTTCATTGATACCATATCCCATCTAAAAAATATGAGAAAACGGGGGAAACCAATACCCTCTCAATCAAGAAGAGAACCTAAAGAAAGGCATACCAAGCCTATTCTTTACAAAATTTGCCCTCAAGAAAAAGGGATAGTACTAAAATGGATCGAATCAGAAATAGAAATACCTAAGTTAACAAGAGAGTTTGCACAACTATTCTCTTCTCTATAATTATGAGAAACAATAAAAGACATATTCCTAGTTATATGAACACAGTTAATCCATCTATTCTGAATAAGCCAAGGCACATCAAAAGGCATATTAAAAGCAAGGACCATAACCACTGAGTCTGTTTCCAACCAAAGATGATGCCAACCCTTCTTATTGGTGAACTCAATTGCACATATTGTACCTGTAAGTTCGGCAACGAGAGAGTTGGAGATTCCCAAAAAATAGAAGCAAAAGCACTCAAAAAATTACCCTCAAAATTTTGAACAATAGTGCCACAAGCAGAGGGGCCCGAATTATTAAGAGAAGCACTATCACAGTTAATCTTGACCTAGTTTTGGGGAGGCGGCTTCAAGATAACTTCAACAATCTTCGGCGCATTAGGAGGCTTGATCCTGATTTTGAAGAATTTAAGTAAAACAAAATCCGACATTCTAATGTGACAAAGCACTGAAGAGTGCTCACCGGCTAAAGAACAAGTAGACAAAATATAGACTTTTGAAGAAGATACTGTGATGAATTTCTCTTTGAATCTAGAACTATTATGAGCCATCCAAATTGCATTAATGATAAAAATAGTCACTACTTTAAAAACCAACAAACTAATTTTAGAACAACAGATATTGGACAGCCTCCAAATATCATTCCAGCAAGTAATGGAAGAGTTGTTTTGAAAAGCAACAAGCAGCCAAGACCAAAGACTAGCTGCATAACTGCAGTAAAAAAACAAATGATGATCGGATTCACCGGCATTACCACACAAGCTACATTTAGAAGGCAAAGAGAAATTTAGAATCTTGAGCTGCTCATCAGAAGGAAATTTCCGCAATAAAAGTCTCCAAGCAATAAAAGATTTGGACGGAGGAATGTGTTTAGACCAAATAAACTGACGCCACTCAACCGGAACACCAGTAGCTCGTTTAAAATAATATGCAAGCTTGAGAGTCAGCTCACTCGAGGAGTCATGTTTCCAAATACGTTTATCAGGCCGAATGTCAAAAGGAATATGCATATTTATAATCCTGACCTTCACGGAATCCAGGACCGGGCAAGAAGAGAGATCCCAGGTGTTGTGGTCGATGAAGTGATTTACCATAAGCTTGTCATTCAAATTGTAAGAAGGATAATCCAAGTACAGAGGGGTGCCACACCAATTATCAAACCAGAATATGATATCTATCCTGTTACCCAGTAGCCAGACAGAATTATTGGACAAGTTATTATATTCTGATTTGGCACTAGTCCATAAGGAGGAAAATAAATGAGATTTGCGAAGCCGGTTATTTCTAAGAATCCGCTATTTGAGAATTGAAGCCCACGACTCCTTCGAAGTAAAAACATCCCAGCAAAGATTAAGATTGTTGGCCTCATTAAGAGCAATAAACGAGCGGATACCCAACCCTCCTTCTGAGATAGGTTTGCACATCTTTTTCCAAGTCACCGTAACAATTTTCCTTTTTGATGTGTCCCTGATCCAAATGAAATTCCGAGAAGCACACTCAAGGTCTCTAAGTAACGACACTAGCCAAGAGCAAATAGACATAGAATCCATAAGCATACTTTGGATAGTTAACTTGACCAGGCTCAACCCTACCCACAAAGGACAAAAGAGCGAGTTTTCCAATTATCTTATCTGCAATCGGCTGTAGATAACAAACTTTAGGACGACCCTTGAAGATAGGCACTCCAAGGTAGGGGTAAAAGGAAAAGAACCAGCTTTGAAACCTGAAAGATATTTCAAAATATTCATCCTAGAGGACGGCATCACACCACCGAAAATCGAAGATTTCTCACAATTAATAACTTGACCCGGCGCCAACGAGTACTCCATGAAAGCATTGGCAAGAGACTTAGGACATTGTTAGGAGCTTTGATTGATTCCATTTAGCCTGAAATAACAAGATTGTAAAGGTGTCTACTTAGGACATCTTCGGCTTGGCAGAAAAGCAAGGGTGATAACGGATCTCCTCGGCGAACCCTATTAGTACAGTTGAAATAACCATTAAGCGAGTCATTAACGAAGATGGACGGAACAACAGACTGCAAATTGCATTGAATCCAGCTGCATAATGAGTTATTAAACCCAAACTGATTTAAAACTTTCAAAAGAAATGACCACTTCAAGGTGTCGAAAGCTTTTGCAATATCAACTTTCAAAACAATCTTACCGCACCAAGACTTGGAGTCAAGCAAATTAATAGCCTCTGAAGCAAGACCCATACTATCCTTAATATGTCTTCCTTGAATAAATCCGCGTTGTTCACTAGAAATAAGATGCGGCATTAAGGGAGCTAACCTGTCAGCTAGGATTTTAGAGATGATTTTGAACATTGTTATCCACACAAATAGTGAACGCCACAAAAGCTAGAACATTGTTATCCACACAAATAGTGAACGCCACAACTGTTATATGGACTGAAGAATAGAAGGCTGAAGATCCTTCCTGCAAAAACACCAGAGAGAAGGTAAAAGGTTGGTGCTGAAAGCAAAAGAGAGAAAGCTAAGGATGGAAAAATTGTTGTAACTCATTTTGGGTTCATCAATGAAAACAAAATCGGGCTTGTGAAGTTTGATGAGCCTCTTAAGCGCTAATCTCGATGGAGCTTTAGCAACACCCCTGATATTCCAAAAAAGACTAATCATTGAGAAGGCTTCTTGAGGCCTGCTTTGGACCTTGTTCCATATTTTAATTGGGATTTGACTGGAGATTGTTTGTTCTTAAGATTCAAGACAGCCGATTTAAACGGCCCTTTGTGAGTACCTTCGTTTTCAGAGTGTTCTACATCAATGCAAATGGGATTACCCACACTAGTAGCAACAGGAAACAGAATCTTAGGTCTGCAATATTCTTGAGACAAGCCAAAAAAAATGCATCCAGACTTGTGCAATAATAGTATTGTTTTGAGCAGAAGGATTGAAGTCCTTGGACCAAGCAAAGAGCTTCAGAGTACCTGGGTTAAGATTTAGAGAACCTAGAGCTCTGACTTTTCACAAATCTTCAACACTAGAGAAAGAGAATTCAAAGTATCATTTGCCAATGGATTGAACACCCCAGCTTTTGATATCTAACCACAGAACCGAGAGTTTGTTCCTAAGAGCTAAAACAATGAGAGGGGAAGAGTCATTGGGCCATGTAACGCCTAATATTTAATTAATTATTTAATTAAATATTGTTGAATATTTTTATGATTAATTTTCGAAGTTGTAAAATGTTGATTTAAGTTGTGTTATTATTATTTGAATTTATTTATTTGATTAAGTTGTAGAAATAGTATTAGAATAATAATATTATTATTATTAAGTGGGCTTTTAATGTTAGAAGTGATAAAAAGGGAGGTTAGGAATTTAAGTCGAATAAGAATAATAGTATAATAGTTATATTATTATATTAGTTATTTTAGAAATAATAAGAAGTAGAAGTTTCAGAAGAGAGAAAGAGGAATAAGGGTTTTGGAAGAGATACATAGAAGGGCAAGGAGGAGGCAAACTTAGGTCAATCGTAGAGTTACAGAGCAACCTTCAATCCAAGGTAAGCGTTGGGTTTTAACTTTATTAGGGGTTGTATGATGGTGGGTTATGGTAGAGTTAAGTTATGTAATTTTATAATCTCTTTGTGTGAATTTGATGTGTATGGGGTTTGTATGTGTGATGATTGATGATGATGAATTGGTGTAGATTGTTGATTTAATCCGTTGAAATTGACTATAATCGATGAATTGAGGTTTTGAATTGTGTGGTAATTGATGTATGTTGATAACAAAGATGATTGGATGTTTGATTGCGTATTATTTCATGAAGTTTGTGTTTTTGGAATTGAGAAAAAAGGATTTTCGTACTGCACTTTACAGAATTCGTAAGACTGTTTGACAACTTTTTTGAAAACTTAAAAACTCCATAACTTTTGACTCGGGTGTCCGTTTGACGTGTCGTTCGAACCTACGGAAAGCTAAACATATTTTTTACAATATAATAATAATTTTGATGGCAGAAGATTAATATTTTATTGGAAGAATTCTGATGTGTGTGTATGTTGTATGTGTTGGAATGCAAAATGTTGCGATTGAATGTATGAGTGTTGTATAAACGATGTACGAAGGATTTTGCATGATGTATTAATAATAATGATGATATAGTATTATAGTATAATAATATTGTAGAAGTTTTGTAATTAGAAATATGCATTTAGATAATTAATTAATCGGAAATAATCGTAACTGTCCGAATAATTACGCGGTTTATTTGTAGTAAATTTTGATTGACTCGTTGTATTGTATTATTTGTTGAAAAGTGTTGAATTATTGCTAAGTTGTAGGCTTATGGCTAGTGTTGAGTTATTGCTAAGTTGTAGGCTTATGACCAGTGTTGAATTATTGCTAAGTTGTAGGCTTATGATCAATATTGAATTGTTGTTGTCAAATTGTTGTTGTTGTTATTAAGTTGTTGTTGAAATGTTATCGTTGTTGTTGCGTTATTGTTGAATGGTTGATGTTGTAGTTGTTGTTGTGTTTCATATGTTGTCGCATACATAGCATATCAAGTTGGGAGCTCATGCTCTGTAAGTTGGCCTGGATTGACAAATATTAAGTTGAAGGCTTATGCCTTGTTTATGCCTCTAAAATTGATTGATTTCTAAGTTGGGAGTTTTACTCCATTGGTACCATATGCATGTGCATTGTAACGAGTCGCATTTCGTGTTGCATATTTAACATGTTGTGTTGTTGACTTGTGATAATTGATGTTGGTTAAAAATTGTGAAGTAGTGATTTTATATAATCTAATCTAATATATTGTTTATCGTACACTCAATTATATGGTTCGATATCTCACCCCTGCTGTTTGAATGGTGCCCTCTGTTGGTAACATGCAGGTAATCAAGAAGGATAGTTGTTACCTTCGTTAGTCCGAGTCGGTGTTGTCACTCTGATATGTAGCACTCGGGGGAATGAACGCATGTTTTCTTTATTGTTGGTTTTCATTATGTTGCTGAATTTTTAAGTTGTTTTTATTAAAGACTTGTTGTCTTAAAGCTGTTTTGAGTTGGGTAAGATGTTATGGTATTTTCAGTTGAATTTGTGAATCCGCTGCGTAGTAATGAAAGTTGTTTTATTTTTAAAGACTAAACAAGTTATTATCGGTTCATCCGAAATTTTATGTGTTATGTATCTGAACTATAGGTGATTGAATGCCGTTATTTTGAGTTGAAAGTGTATCATTCTATATGTTTGTTAGAAATTTTGTAACTCTGATTTTATATAATTTGTTGGGTAGAAATGTGGGTGTTACAATAGTGGTATCTGAGCAGGTTGGTCCGTTCGACCAAGTTGTCGAGTCGTAGTTTTGTTTAACAATCGAGTATTGTTAATTTGAATTCTAGTTGTTGTTTATGTTGTAGTGATAAGTTGAGATGTTCAGACAAGGTAAACTTTCGAGGACGAAAATATTCTAAGTGGGGGAGAGTTGTAACTCTCAATATTTAATTAATTATTTAATTAAATATTTTCTAATATTTTTTCAGTTAAATTTTCGAAGTTGTGGAATGTTGATTTAAGTTGTGTTGTTATTATTTGAATTAATTTATTTGATTAAGTTGTAGAAATAGTATTAGAATAATACTATTATTATTATTAAGTGGACTTTTAATGTTAGAAGTAGTAAAAAGGGAGGTTAGGAATTTAAGCCCAATAAGAATAATAGTATAATAGTTATATTATTATATTAGTTATTTTAGAAATAATAAGAAGTAGAAGTATCAGTAGAGAGAAAGAGGAATAAGGGTTTTGGAAAAGATGCATAGAAGGATAAGGAGGAGACAAAGCTAGGTCAATCGTAAAGTTACAGAGCAACATTCAATCCAAGATAAGGGTGGGGTTCTAACTCTATAAGGAATTGTATGATGGTGGGTTATGGTAGAGTTAGGTTATGTAATTATATAATCTTTTTGTGTGAATTTGATGCGTATGGGGTTTGTATGTGTGATGATTGATGATGATGATGAATTGGTGTAGATTGTTGATTTAATCCGTTGAAATTGACTATAGTCGATGAATTGAGGTTTTGAATTGTCTGGTAATTGATGTATGTTGATAGAAATGATAGTTGGATGTTTGATTGCGTATTATTTCATGAAGTTTGTGTTTTTGGAATTGAGAAAAAAAAGGTTTTCGTATTTCACTTTATAGAATTTGTAAGACTGTTTGACAATATTTTTGAAAACTTGAAAACTCTATAACTTTTGACTCAGGTGTCTGTTTGACGCGCAACCTAAGGAAAGCTAAAAATATTTTCTACATTGTGATAATGATTTTGATGGCAGAAGACTAATATTTTATTGAAAGAATTCTGATGTGTGCATATGTTGTATGTGTTGTAACGCAAAATGTTACGATTGAATGTATCAGTATTGCATAAACGATGTACGGAGGATTTTGCATGATGTATTAATAATAATGATGGTATAGTATTATAGTATAATAATATTGTAGAAGTTTTATAATTATATATAAGCATTTAGATAATTAATTAACCGAAAATAGTCGTAATTGTCTGAATAATTATACGGTTTATTTGTAGTAAATTTTGGTTGACTCGTTGTATTGTATTCTTTGTTGAAAAGTGTTGAATTATTTCTAAGTTGTAGGCTTATAGATAGTGTTGAATTATTGCTAAGTTGTAGGCTTATGGCCAGTTTTGAATTATTGCTAAGTTGTAGGCTTATGGCCAGTGTTGAATTATCGCTAAGTTGTAGGCTTATGGCCAGTATTGAATTATTGTCAAGTTGCTATCGAATTGTTGTTGTTGTGTTATTATTATTAAGATGTTGTTGAAATGTTGTCGTTGTTGTTGCATTGTTGTTGAATGGTTGATGTTGTAGTTGTTGTTATGTTTCATATGTTGTCGCATACATATCATATCAAGTTGGGAGCTCATGCTCTGTAAGTTGGCCTGGATTGGAAAATATTAAGTTGAAGGCTTATGCCTTGTTGATGCCTCTATTTATTGGCATATTTCTAGATTGGGAGTTTTGCTCCATTGATACCACATACATGTGCATTGTAACGAGTCGCATTCCGTGTTGCATATTTAAGTTATTGTGTTGTTGACTTGTGATGATTGATGTTGGTTGAAAGTTGTGAAGTGGTGATTTTATATAATATGATCTAATATATCTAATATATTGTTTATCATACACTCAATTATATGGTTTGATATCTCATCCCTTCTGTTTGAATGTTTCCCTCTGTTGGTAACGTGCAGGTAATCAAGAAGGATATATGTTACCTTCGTTAGTCTGAATCGGTGTTGTCGCTCTGATATGTAGCACTCGGGGGAATGAACGCATGTTTTCTTTATTGTTGGTTTTCATCATTATTAAATGGGTAATTTAGTATTTGCTTCTTTGGGATATTCTTTTTAGGGCCTATGTGGTATTCTTATCTTTACTACTTTTGTGTATAAATAGGTGTACTAGGTTTCATTAATTAATACAATTCCTTTTGCTAATCATCAGTAGCAGCTTTTAGCATTTATCATTTTCTCTCTTCTTCCTCAATTTAATCACCTTGCACCAAAAAATTGGTATCTAGAGCTCTTGGTTTGTTAAGAAATTTTGGGAAACACGAGTGATAGTGAGCTGTGTGTTTGAT